ACTCTTGCTATGGCTCTAATAGCTCTGACCCCGGGCAACTTTATTTATTAACATACAATCAAAATCACATTTCAGTACAATTAGAATACCACCACAGTGAGGTTGAACTGTTGACCTTGTGTATATCCTAATTCACAAATGAGTCTGTCAGATACGCTAAGCCTATAGGCTAAAGATGATGCCCCAACACTGGAGAAACCTCAGGTGACTGTCCAGGCAGCAGGCTATTTCTGTCAAGTCACAATTTTTTGGAAGTTGCTTGCATCTACTTCCTGTTTTAATTTTTGTTAGGTAATATTATTTCCTTCTTGGATCTCTGAGGGAATTGAAGATTAGTTAGTTATAGTTGAAGATTAATTAGGAGAGAAAGTGAATTAGGTACATTTTGGACTTACCAAAATAGGATAGATAATGGAATTATTTTCTCTGAATTTGTCAAATACAAATGGACTAGACATTGTTTAGGTATTTATTACTTGTATATATGGTATATAGTTATTTTTGTACTTTTGTATACAGTTTTCTTATGTTAGTTATAACCTTCTTCCTTTTTTCTTTTTATTAAAATAGAAAAGGGGAGATATGGTGATATTTTATTTGTACTAAAATGTGATTTGTATGTTAATAAATAAAGTTGTCCGGGTGTCAGAGCTAACAGCAAGCCATCACAGAAGCTAGGTGCTGGTTGTGCACGCTTTTAATCCCAGCACTTGGTAGGCAGAGCTAGGTAGATCTCTGTGGTTCAAGGATACAGCCAGCATTGGAGACACATGCCTTTAAACTCAACACCAGCCATAGAAGACCTGGACATCTGTACAGACAGGCTGTGACAAGGAGGTCATGTGGTTGGTTATACAACCAATGACAAGGCAGAACAGAAAGTCTTTATAAAGACAAACACACAAAAAGTCGCTCTCTTTCGGAGAGGTAGGACCACCATGAGAGGAAGTGTAAGGTTTTTAGCTCTTAGCTATTGCTCTGACCTCTTGGCTTTCTTCGTTGCATTGGTTCTGTGTTTCTGATTGAATAAGATGGTTACTTCTACAACCCAATCCTCCAGTTGTCCACTATTAGCTCTAATATCTCAAAGGAGTTTGTATACTCTATTACTTGAAAATTCTTTCAAACATTTTGGAGAAGGTTTTGGAGTAATTTTACAAGAAGTTATACTTGCAAATTTGTTGTGGCAGACTTCTGGGTTCCTATCAAAACACACTGGTTTGTGACCTATTTGGGGCCAGAAGAGAATTTTACCTTAAAGAAGCTTCTGAGTAACAGGCACTAATCTGTGACTGAGTCTGGAAATAGACTTTCTCATCTCAGAGACCTCAAGATCCAACTAGAGAGATTGCCTAAAAATGGTGGCTGTTGTCTATTTTTAGGCAATCTCTCTGCTGTTGACTAGGTGTGATTTTAATTTCATCCACTTAGTTGGTTAACAGAACAGTTCTAGTTAAGTACACACAATGCCGCTGTAGAGGTGATCAGCCTGAAGCTTAGACATGGGAAGAACAGTTGGACAACAAGAAAACAAGTCAGGTGACCTGGTACAAACACAGCCATTGAATCCCAGAGCCTGAAGATTCTTATTGACTTATTGCACCAAATGACCTTGTAAATAAAAGGAACAATTTAAATATAATGTGACAGACATGACAGGGAAGATCTCCTGAAGTCTCTTTGGACAGAGGAAGGGAGAAATGCAAGTGACCTACACTGGACTTTCAGGAAGGTTGCTATAAACACAATTCTTTTATGTTGCAGCTTGGTGAACTTCCTCCTCTTGTAGAAGAGCCGAAGAATGTAGTCAAAACTAACTGTGAACTTTTTGAGAAGCTTGGCGAGTATGGATTCCAAAATGCGTGAGTAGTTTTTTAGCTATTTTTTCCCTTGGTCAATTAAATTACTTAAAGCAATGTATAGGTGACCGAACATGTGGCCTTAGTAATGAAAACACATTTTTTATAATCCTGGGCTCATAGAAAACCTTGATATATTGGAGCTGGGAGTATCCTTCAAAGGTTAGGCAGAGTTTATGAGCAAGCAGTAGAACAATATAGGGTAGAACAAGAAAGAGCATGCTTTGGATAGCAAAACCTCAAGAATTGGTAGAAATGCTGAACATAAAAATATAACAAAAGATTTAGATAACATTCAAATGATACATGAATAAGGGTTCACTTCAGAAAACATTGGAGCTTGAGAGTTATACCTAAACTTTCATAGTTGTGATTTTGTATTCCTATGGAATTTCATTTTTAGAAGAGATAGATTCTGAATGCGCTGCTGGAGTAATGTCCCAATTCCATAGAACCTTATCTATGGAGGTAAAGTGAAGACACATTATTCCTTATTCAGGTTGTTACAGTTTTAGTGCTCTTCTAACTCTAGCATTTGGAGTTGACATGATTTCTTCACTTGAGTAGATTACAGTCATTCACTGACTTTTATTATTATGTTTCATTGTTAAATACTAGATGTTATTAGATGCTAGATAATGTACCAGGCAGACACATTATTTGCTTTCATTTAATCCTTGTGCAGTCTCTATTAAACCAGCCATCTTTTCATCAGTATTTTTAAGATTATCACAGTGTTAATACGTGTAAGTTTGTGATAGAATTTATTTCAAGCAGCACCAAGTACATTAATACTGTTAGACTAGAGAAATGTAACTCACTTCCTTATGATTATAGTACAGATCTAAGACTAAGATCATATGCTCCAGCAAATTTTCATGGACATGTAGTTAATTGTTCAGGAGAAGGCCTTCCTCTAATACTATGGTATCATCCTGGAAGTGAAGAACTTTGGTTCATGTGGAAAAACTATCTTAGTTGACTTGGGGTAAATTTTCTCTTGTTGAAATACTTTACAGCAGACCAGTTTCTTGTCTGGATGGAAACAAATAAGTAATTTTTTTATAACAGGCTCCTAATTCGTTACACTCAGAAAGCACCTCAGGTGTCGACTCCAATTCTTGTGGAAGCTGCAAGAAACCTAGGGAAGGTGGGCAGCAAGTGCTGCATGCTTCCTGAAGCAAAGAGACTGCCCTGTGTGGAAGATTATGTGAGTCTTTTAAACTATGATTAAGTCAGCAGTGCTTGGTTTTTGTCTTCAGACATTGACACTTCTAACTTTTAGGAGCAAGGGTATGCTGATATGTGCATGTGTATATGGTAGCTAATATGGGTACCTATATTAAAGTGAAAGAGAATTTTTATAAGTCATATGTTTGGTTTCAAAGATAAATAAATCACTATGGCAATCAAGGTTGAATATATTGTTGTTAATTCAATATGGCAGTTCTTTTAGTGCATCAGAAAGTGAGTGTCTGTGGATCTATTGACTGTTCTCCTCCTCTCTGCCTGTCCCTTAGCTGACAGAGATCCTGAACTGGGTATGTGTGCTGCATGAGAAGACTCCAGTGAGTGATCAGGTCACTAAGTGTTGTAATGGATCTGTGGTAGAAAGGCGACCATGCTTCTCTGCTCTGCCAGTAGATGAAACATATGTCCCCAAAGAATTTAAAGCTGAGACCTTCACCTTCAATGCTGGTATCTGCACACTTTCCAAGAAGGAGAAACAGATAAAGAAACAAATGTGAGCAATATTTTCTAATTGCATAGGTTTTTTTCCCGGGTATTGCTTCCTCTACAAGTATCAGTGACAGAGACCCAGCAATCTCCTCTTGCTTGGCTTTGTTTAATTCTTATAACATCCCCATTATTAACTCCAAATGGGGCAGATGTTAGAGAGCAAAATTCTGTTTATTAAGTGCAAAGAGAGAAGTCTTTCAGGAATTTTCTGGAAACTACGTAAAACACTGAGTGACTTGCATTGATTATTCCATTTCATCCAGTCCTAGCCAAGTGGCCCTAATTGCCCTCATACACAGTCAAGAATACTAAGTCTGGCAATGGCCTGCTTGGTCCTGGAAGCCAAAGTCACTTAGCTCAAGATGTATAATCTTGAACTGTGGCCTCGCCATCCTTGCTGTCTTGGTTTCCTGCATGGGAGTCAACATTTCCTTGCTCTTCCTGCTCTCTGTCCTAATGCAGGGCACTTGCTCAGCTGGTGAAACACAAACCCAAGGCTACAGATGAGCAGTTGAAGACCGTGATGGGCGATTTTGCAGCTTTCTTGGATAAGTGCTGCAAGGCTGACGACAAGGAGGCCTGCTTCTCTGAAGAGGTAACAGAGCATTTTGCACTTTAATATGTTCAGTTTCCATTTGTGTGCATTTGGTCAGGTTGAGGATTAGACACTCATATGCTGAATGATGTGATCAATCTAGATCTTGTTCACTACAGAACTGTAATACAAACTGACTTTCATAGCTCTTAAGTTGTGTGTCCTACCACACTGTAGCATATAAAATGTTCATAAAGGTCATTCAATTCCAAACTTATGACACTTAAGAACAAAGAAATATTTGTAAAGCCCAGAATCATTAACTCATTTAATCCTTGTCTTGAAATGTTACACTTTGAACTGACTAATATCACACGTGAGAGGAGAACATTTACAATTACATGTCTGAATCATTTCACATTTCCCCCCATGCCCTAACAAGAGTTTACTTTAGTCTTTTGGATACAACAGATATCAGTGAGCTTTGTTTAAGAATTCTAGGAGAACTGTAATTAAGTGATGCAAGGCATGTGAATTTACATTATAATCACTGAAAACTGTGGAGGTGCAAATTCCAATAGTCTTGCTAGTATTTTTCTAACATGTATCATTTTGTGTGTGTGTGTGTGTGTGTGTGTGTGTGTGTGTGTGTGTGTGTGTGTGTGTGTGTTTTCAGGGCCCAAAACTTGTTGCTGCAAGCCAAGCAGCCTTAGCCTAAACACATCACAATCACAAGCATCTCAGGTAAGTGTATTTGGGATTTTTTTTAAAAAAGCAATCATATGCATTTTTCCTAAAATGGCTAAGATTTGCTGACCATTTGGCAAGAGCCATGTAGACTAGCACCTGCCACCAATCTTAGGCCCTTGTGTATGTTCACCAATTTGCATATAAGAAAATGAATACATAAAGGTCTAGATCAATGCAATTTACCCAAGGGGCAGCCAAACTAGGGAGAGAATGAAAGAACATTTTTTAGTCAAAACAATTGTGTATTGTTGATTCTGCAGAGTTTGACTCAGTACTTCTATAAATTCATTTCATATTTAATGGAGCTTTTTTATGGGGGTTCCTGTTTCATAATAAATGATCTGTTTCCAAATCTCTGATGTGTCACATGTCAAGCTTTGACAGAATTTATATTCAGATTTCAAAACAGCATTTGAAAATGTAGATAATTGAATAGAGCTATGATGATAACTATTGTTTGAAATATTTTGGAAGAGAATTTAAAAAATAGACCAGCAATGGAATAAGGTGGCAAAATAAAATAGTTTCTCCACATGAAAACACATATATATTGTGTATTCAATCAAAGAACCTACATATATAGGGTTATTTCAAAATTATTTCCATTTTTAGAAGGAAAAGAAAATTTTGTTGCATTCTGAGAAGACAGCTTTCATATTTTAATAAATTAGGGAATAAGTAGGTCTAGAGAAATGGTGAGACTTCTGACCTGACACTTGAGAGCCCTGATGGAACCATTGAGGAAGAGCAGGTGTCAGAACAGGCAACAGCGTATCATCTGTCCCTGAGTGAGGGAGGTGAGCTAAGTCTAGGTCATGCTTAGGCTGTCTAGACCAGTGAAAATTGCAAAAAGAATTTAAGAGATTCAAAATTTTTAAAAATAGTTTTGGAAAACATATTCCAATTTTAAAAGACACTTTTTTGTTTTTCAGTATACTGCGAGAAAAGGAGAGACAAAGACTCAAGCCTTACTCATCTTTTCTTTTGGTGTGAAATCAACACACTAAGGAACACAAATTTCTTTAAATATTTGACTTCTTTTCTCTGTACTGCAATTAATAAAAAAAATAACTCTGTATTTTCCAGGACTGTATTTTTCAAAGGCATGCTCCCCCTGACAGCCTTGTAGGCTCTGGGAAACACTCAGTTTTCTCTCTTCTTTTCCTCAGCAGAGGCTCTAGCTCCTTATAGGCAACCTGATAAAAATAAATGTCAATACTCTCCTCATTTCTGTGCAGTGAACATATACACTAATTTCAACATTATGACAGTTCTGAATGAAAGACTAAAAGCTTATGTACCATGGCTTTCCTTGTCAGTGGGACTCTAAGAATGAGTTGGGGACAAAGGAGACAGAAATGGCTTTAAAGGTGGCTCAGTTAACCGGTAAAGTAAGTGATTAAGAAAAATTTACTACAGTTTAGGATGATAGCATAAAACCTCAAGAAGCAATGTTGAAAGAGGGGACTGCATGATCTGGAGGGGTGCTGAGGGCACTGGATTGATGAAGAGGGGACTGAGTGATCTGGAGGGATGCTGAAGGACACTGGATCAATGAAGAGGGGACTGGGTGATCTGGAGGGGTGCTGAAGGACACTGGATTGATGAAGAGGGGACTGGGAGATCTGGAGGGATGGTGATGCATACTGGTTTGATGAAGGGGGACTGGGAGATCTGGAGGGATGCTGAAGGACACTGGATCAATGAACAGGGGACTGGGTGTTCTGGAGGTTGCTGAAGAACACTGGATTGATGAAGGGGGACTGGGAGATGTGGATGGGTGCTTTAGCACACTGGTTTGATGAAGGGGGACTGGGAGATCTGGAGGGATGCTGAAGGACACTGGATTGATGTAGCACAAGAGTTGGGTGGTGAAAAAGTTGTATAAAAATTTTGAACTGATATTCAATGCTAGATTCTTTTCTCTGTTTTAGGAGGGGATTGCTCATATGTACTCTGTTTTATGAATTTTGTAGACTTACCCAAGTATTGCCTATGAATTTACATACATAGTAATTCATATCCATATGAAATTTTTATTATTATATCCTTGGTTTCAAATTGTGCCTATTATTCTACAACTGGCTCTTAGTGATCTTTTATAGTTTCATGTAAAGCATGATACCTGAAAAGATGAGGAGACCACTGTAGCAGGAATCTTAAATGGTCTTATTAATTAAATCAAACCCAAGGCCAGTTTTTGGGGTGAATACTGGAAAATCAGAGAAGCAGAACAAGCCCTAGCTTCCTCACCTCGCCAATTCCTCAGGTGATCCTGTTTCCTCAGACTGGATGCCTCTGAGTCCTCATCCAGAATGGTTCTCAGCTGAATTGCTGCTAGAAGCCTGAAAACTTTACCAGACAAATGCTTAACCAGGCCAAATGCTTCTAGTTTCTGGTCATCACGCTTTATAAATCTTTCTGCTTTCTACCATATTCCCTGGGATTAAAGCCCGCTTTCTGGGATTAAAGATGTGAGTCACCATGCTTGGCTGTATCCTTGAACACATGGATTTCTGCCTCTGGAATGCTAGGATTAAAGGCTTGTGCTACCCCTGCCTATCTTCTGTGATTAATATTGTGGCTGTTCTGTCTATGACCCCAGATAAGTTTATTAGGGTGCACAATATTTTTGGGAACACAATACCACATCATTTCCCCTTTTTTGTCTAAAATTTTAAAAAGCTTATAATTAATACAAGAAAAATTATATCCAGTAAGTATATACAGTATACACAGTCAATATTACATTAACATTTGACAGACTCAGACAAAAAACTCCATTAAAATAATGTCCAGTCCTATAACATTTGATAAACTCAGACAAAAAATTTCACTACTTATCCTGTTTAAAATAAGTAGTTCCTTTTTAAATATAGATTCAATAATTGACCTTTTTATCTTTTCATATCCATATTCTATCTTTTTTTCTTTTCGTAATAGATTCAGTAGTCTACCTTTTGTCATTTTTATATCTTCCCCCTTTTCTTTAGTATAGATTCAGTGATCTACACATTTATCCTATTATTTCTTTATCTTTTTTTCTCAGAGTAGATTCAATTATCTACCTCAAATCTATATTCTCTTTTTTCTTTGTTTTTCTTTTTTTTTCAAACAAAAACTGTACCTAGAGTTTTCCTGCCTGGCCCACAATCATGACAAATCTCTGACTCCCGCTAGTCCCACAGCCTCTCAGACACAACCAAGTAAACACAGAGACTTATATTGCTTACAAACTCTATGGCCATGGCAGGCTAACTGTTCTTATATCTTAAATTAATCCATTTCCATAAATCTATACCTTGCCACATGGCTTGTGACTTACTGGCTTCTTCACATGCTGCTTGTCATGGAGGTGGCTGGCAGTGTCTTCCTTCTGCCTTCCTGTTCTCTCAATTCTCCTCTCTGTTAGTCTTGCCTATACTTCCTGCCTAGCCACTGGCCAATTAGTGATTTATTTATTAACCAATCAGCAACACATTTGACATACAGACCATCCCACAGCACTTCCCCTTTTTTTTCTTAAAAAGGAAGGTTTTAATCTTTACATATCTCCAAAGTCAGCTTGGTATATTTGGGAATTTGGGCATAGCTCTCAGTACTTCCTGCTGGAGGGGGTTGCTGTATCTTATGGGGACACAAAGAATCTAATCTCCTTGTTCAGATTTTTTCTTGACCATTAACAATTAACAACTTGTAACCAACCATCATAAACCATAACAATGTCCACAACTCATTAAATGACCAAAAAATTTCCACCCCTTCTCTTGAGAATGTGGGCGTCGTTTTCTTGAAATTATTTCCTGCTTGCTAGGGGCAAAGACATCTTTAGGGAATCTTGACTGTGTATATTGTCAAAATTGGGTTTGATTTTATTAATAATAGCTTTTTAAGATTCCTGCTACATCCCACATGTAAAGAAAGTTCCTTTTCAATCCTCTTATATGCCACACTCACCTCTCCCTCAACCTGTGCTTTGGCCTCCTGATGAACGTATCAAAGGCAGCAGAAAGACTGGAAGGATAGAGTGAAGATTGGGACCTGCCCTGATGGAAACCAGGGTGCAGCAGGCAATTTTGAGTAAAGTGTTGCTATTCAACTGGACAAAAAGGGGCCAGGTCTAGATGCACTCTCTGGAAGACACTGTCCCAATAACCACTCCTAGATTCCAAAAGGGAACTTCATACTTAGAGAGAATTATGTGTACCTGGAATTTTCTCCAGTCCTGCCTGGCCCATGGTCAGCACAAATCTCTCTCACCCGCCAGTCCCTCAGCCACTTAGACCCAACCGAGTAGAGTAAACACACAGAGACTTATATTGCTTACAGACTGTATGGCCATGGCAGGCTTCTTGTTATCTAGTTCTTATATCATAAATTAACCCATATCTATTAGTCTATAAGTTGCCACATGGCTCATTGCTTGCCAGTACCTTACATCTTGCTTTTCATGGTGGGTGGTCTGATTCAGCCTTTTACTTCCCAGAATTCTCCTCTCTCTTTGTCCTGCCTATACTTCCTGTCTGGCTAATGGTCAATGAGTGTTTTATTTATTAACCAATCAGAGCAACACATTTACCATACAGAACATCCCACAACACTTCTTCTTTTCTTTTTTTTTTCAAAAAGGAAGGTTTTAACTTTCACATAGTAAAATTTCAGATAACAAAACAATTATCAAGCAAGAATTACAGTTACAATATTTAGTCTTTTATAATTACTAGTCTATTTGTATTTGGCAAAATTGGAGAAGATATCTCATCTATCTTATATTTGTGAGTATAAGGTTTCATAGCTTACCTATGTTTTATCATAACTAAGGAAAATTATAACCATCTATTCTTCAACTACATCAAACACCTCAGAAGAATATAATATTATCTGAGAAATGGGATAAGGATGCAAGCAACTTCCAGGAGTCTTGCAAGAGTAGACAGAGACAGCTGGCAGCCTGGACAGTCACCTAATGTTTCTTTGTAAACTGGGGCATCTGTCTCATCCCATAGGCCTAGGTCTCTCAGTCCCTTTTCTTTGTGTCCTGTACAATGTCTGGCAGTTTCCTCTGCAAAGCAGGAACCTAAAGGACCATTTTGCCAAGCAAAGTTCAGTGGTCACCTTCCTATGGGTCCTGCATGTCCAGTGATACATTTTTTCAAGCAGTCCAGGCAAAAGCAATTTCTTGCCCAAATGGCTATTTTTGTCAAGAAGAAGATAAACTCCATATGGAGTGTCTTCAATGCCCATCCTCCTCTCTGAAGTAAATTGGTTTTGCCAGGAGAAGACATGTCTTACTGTCCAGAAAGTCTAAATTTTTAAAATATTTTAAATGCTATATTCTGTAGGTCTTTGAAGTGTTTGAGGATTGCCTATCTGTCTGAAATATATCTATATATACCTAGAAAACTTAACTAACATGGCTCCAAGTATGATTATCATAGATGACTAATTATTAATCTATTTCTTATTTATCCATTACAATTTTAAATGAGCTGTACAAACATAATACCTTAAACACGAGTAGAAATACACACACAATATAACAAAATTAACTTTAAATTTATATCAATAAACTAAAATCTATACCAATGTAAAACATTTAAAACAAGTTGTTGCTCTTTAAAAGTAGGTTCAACAATCTACCCTTTTATCCTATCATTATCTATATTGTCCCCCGTTTTTTTCATTAGAAAGAGATTGCATTTATAATCGACCTGTTTTAAATAAAACTATTGGTTTTTCTCTGTCCCACACTAGAGGGCTCTTTTGATATGGGACAGAAGTATCTCTTAACTTTTTTTCTTTGGCAATATGCTTGGGCTTAGAGAAGCATTGAGCCAATTCTATCTTCAAAGCCTGATTGGTATATTTGGGAATTTGGGCGGAGCTTCTCTTACTACATCCTTCTGGATAGAGTCACTGTATCTTATAGGGACACAAAGAAAATTTTAGGCTTATGTGGTAGTCCATGAAGCTATATTGTCTGAGCCACTTGTCTTGAAACCATTCTGGATGTTGGAACATCTGGGCTATGGTGTCATCAGAGACCTTTCAGGCGGTCTTGGTTGGTCAAACCTGATG